ATTATAAAAATAATAAATGCAAATTTCAACCAATTTCATTTTTATATCAAACAGGAATCTTCAGATTATTTAAAATTGTCCTTTAAAAATATTCTTTTATATTTTGGCGGAGAAAGAACAATAATATAATATCAGTTTATACAATAATTATAATAATAATTTATTTATTTTTTATTCATTCACATCTTTAACTTGTCGGAAATTACATTTTGATGATTACCTCTAATTTTTTAGATCAATATAAATTAATTTCAGTATTACTGAGTGATAAAAAAAACTCCTGTAATAAGAAAGCAAACTAGTTAAATCATAGTTTACTTTAATATGAATTTTGCCTATATTTTTGATTAAAAATTACAACCAGTTTTTTTTTAATTTACTTTTATTGATAACTTTATCATCACTAACATTTTTTATTCCTAAAAAATAAATATTAATCTGTGATACATTAGAAAAATAACCGCGGTTTGATCAACAAAATATGTCTCGCATGAAAGTTTTTGAATTCAGTGCAGCTCGAGAGGAATCGCCGAAGTCAGCACCAGACTTGATGTCGCGGCCGATTATAAACGTCTCTCATTCAAGTGATTTATTTGTTGCGCCAGTCGTTGACATTTAGAGGACGTTTGCTGAAAAAGATCACGTGATTTTCCATCATCCTTCCGATGATAAGATAAGGCGGACCAGGCCGGCGATTGGTCGCCACGAGAGGCAAAGCTGCTCTCGCGTTTCGCCGGCAAAAACGTTGCAGCAGCCGATAAACTGGATTTATGCAATTGCACGTGAGTCAAGTGGCTTGTCCGGAATAATTAATGTGCCGCGTCATCAGACGTCGCGGACAGGATTGCGATAAAAATCTCGTCCAGACGCATTATTAAAAAAATTTATTGCAGATTACAAAACTTGCAGTAATTAATGCATTGATAAAGAAAGATTTGTTGTGCTTGTGCATTTTTGTTTGTTGACAACGGGCTAGGATGTTTGTTTATTTTTTTTTTTTAGAGAAATCGTGTATCAAGAAACTGATAGAAAGGAAGGAGATAAAAGACAGCGGAGAGGTTTGTCTGGGAATCCCGACCAACCTGAAACGATGACGCACAACATACCAAAAGCATCACAACGTAGTCATTTCATATCCTAGCGGAAGAATGTGAAGAATAGAAGTTTAATTAAGTACTTTTTTCAATTTATTCGTGTCAATAAGAAAAAAAATTTGCAGAGAGAGACTTATTTAATTATCATTAACTTTAATTAGCATGAAATAACTTGACGTGTTCTATGGGCAAGATTAACATGTTTTGGAGAGATTTTTTTGCTTGTTGATGACTGTAAATTAGTGCCCAAATGAATAAAACAATTATCTAATCTAATCTTGCCTTACCAAGAAATTGGCTATTGTGTCTCGCGTAAAAAGTTTAATGATTGTAAATTTTTTGATTAAATTTAATTTTGTATTTAAATTTAAGATTTGAAAGCTTCAGTTGTGAACATAAAAAAATAAATACAAATCAAAATTTATATTGTTAATTTATTTAAGAATATTAATTTAATTAAATATTTATGTTTTAATATTTTAACGTAATTTTAATATTTAAAAGCAAATATTTATATTATTAATATTCACTTGTTTTTTTAAATAATTAAAATAAAATTATTCGTTTTCAATTTGTTAAATTTTTTTCAGATAGTTAAATTAACTTAGCGAATTTATAAAATTTTACAAATCATTTGGATCAATAGTTATCACGTAAACTTAATAAAAATTATTAATCAATAAATCTCCTATTTTAATAATGAAAATTTAATTAAATTCATTAAATGCACAATTATTTTGTCATAATTCAACATACTTTCGAATTTCCTCTAATAATGTTTTATAGATATCGATTTTTTAAAATAAATTTAAGAAGAATGCAAATAAAAGCAGACTAAAAAATCACAAGAATAATTAAATCAATTTAAAATAATTTTACAAATTTAAAAATAAATTGCAATTGTGCATTATTAAATTGGAGTATGAAACTTTTTGTTGGTTTTAGAATCGAGAAGTGACCGCTGAACAAATAACGTGACACCACAAATGCGTTGCGGGCCAGGCAATTCGTTTGTCCCTGTTACATAACTAAAGGGATTATTACGCGGCCGCACTGTACTATTTTTACCGTCCGCGGATCAATAGGTAAACACACTTTTACGAGTCACGGGAGCGATCTGCATACATCAAAGGCTCGAGTCCGAAAAAAGTAAAACGCGAGAAGACGATTAGAGAGAAAACATTTCGCCAAAGAAAGTACGTATACGTCAGAGGGAGGACATGTGCGCGTGTTTACAGTGAATGGAGGAAAAGAATGAGTGAATCACTCGCGGTTCACGCGAATTGGCGCCACGTTTCGCGCACGGCAAGATGCAATTAGCATGTCTGACGACACAGACTTAATTTGACAAAAGAGGAGAAGTTGCAACTGGAGCCGCAATAATGTCATCGTGAAATAGAACAGACAACAAAGACACATTAAAAATTAATCAGCAGCTGCCATATTTTTTAGCCTTCAATCATAAATTGATAAAAAAAAACTAAATTTCTACCAACAATGGTGAAGTTTTTAATTAAATAATCAACAATCTTTTTACATGGGATGATATTAATTCCATATTTTCATAGTTTTACAATCTTAACGAGGAGCTTTTTACATCTACACTGTAAATAAAACTTCTCAACGTTTTGCCAACAGATCAATATAAATTTTTGATGTCGACTGACCTATTGATTTTATTTTACTATCTTAATTGGGGTGATTTGAACGTAATTTCGGTGGTTGAATTTTTATCATGTTTAATTGAGCCATTTTGAGATTTTTTTTAGTAAATTCCTATAAAAAGCAATGTTAAATTTAAAATATAAATAAATTCAAATTCAGTTTTTCTTACTATTTATCCTTGGAACTGAAATTTACAAACCAATACCCACTGAAGGGAAAAATTAACAACAAAATTAATTGGGCCGTTCTCTCGTTAATTTAATGAAAGATGTTTCATTCAATTTGTCACAATAAATGCAATTTTTAAGCTTTAATGAATCATTTTATTAATATTTCGCATAATTTTAAATCAACATATTATCGAAATTGTTTTACTTCTTCTATGTTTCAAGTTTGTCTTAATAATCAAATAATTGAAGATTTTCAAAAATTAATTATAGCCCTCCCTACTTCTTGGAGATTTCCTTATTTCAAAATAAACAAAATCAGTGGAGTTGATAATTGTACATTATGGTGAGGACGGGGTAAGCTAATTATCTTTGTCCACTGCTGCGCGCAATGGGAGCTCGGTCGGTGCAGCCAAAGCCTGGTTTGCGATGCATGAGGGCGAGTGAAAATAGCCGCGTCTCTTTATTATCTCACAGCACCGGTCGCTTAATTGGATGTGCACGTCGGCAAAATAAATGCACCTTGGAGAACGCGTTTTCTGTCCTTGACGCAGCCAATTTTGTATGATAATAATAGGCCTATATTGGTTGATTATGGTTGCGCGCAGCAATTAATATAATAATTCCACAAACCGCTTAGTAAAAAATATATTTTTTGATATGGTCTTTTACCACTGAATCAAGGCTGAGTATTTCTTCTTATAATACAAATTTCACAAAGGAAGGAAAATCATTGCAATTTTATTAATAATTATTAATATAATACAAAATTTTATTGTTTTATTAAATTCATGCTTGAATAATATTATTAGCTGTATTTAAATAATTCAATTTATTTTCACAAAGTTCAAGTTGGGAAAAAATTACAATTTTTTTTTTGCAATTTTAATTTTGTTAAATCTTTCTTTCACTTTCATAAATAGCTAAATTGTGCGTAAAAAAAGCCACAAGGTGAAAGATAACACAAGCTTCAACAAGATGATAAGAAAATTAAAGTCAGCTTTTTAAATAAAAAGGTTATCAAAGATGAATCAAAGGAGAAACAAAGTCACAGAAGTTTCCACTGTTTTTTTTTTTAACGCAGACAAACGTCATTTTCTTTCTTTCTAAAACTGAATAATCAAGCTGCATATTAAACAATCACAATTCCCTCTCGTCTTTCATTAAAGTTGTTTGATAAACCGCGCGATTAGTTAAAAATAAGGTCATCGGGCGTCTCTGAGGGTGACATTGAAATGATTGTTTGTAATTAATTCGCCTCGCCGCCGATATTGATTCGAGACTCTTTACATGGGCACCACGTGACGCATAAAGTCACCCTTTTGAGTGGGCGGGGGTGTTTTGACGGTCGTTCGCCATGGAAATGTAGTCTGCTTTTTGCGAAAATGGCACTTCGAGCGGCGCCGCCACCAAATAAATAATGAGGAGCCAAGTGTGATGGATCGAAAGCAAGACTTGCACTCGGAACGAAAACGGGTTGAAAACCCTGACCTTTTCTCGCCACTGTGCGTGTCCATCAGAGTTTTAATATACTTTAAAAAGCGATTTTTATCTTTTTCAGGCACCAGAACAAGATTGATTGTAATGTAAAGATAAAATCTAATGGAATGGAACATAAAATAAAAGTATGAAAAAAAATCTTTTTTTTAATTTTTAAAACAATTTTAAATTTCCAACTTATCTCGTCTGAAATTTTAAAGCATTTTAAAATTCTTCCGGATCATTTTGGATTTTTTGATGTATTTGCAGGATTAACTTTGACGAAAACTAAATTATTATAATTCAACTTTAAACTTTTGCGAGTTTTTTTTTTATAATATTTTATAAAATTTGCATGCATTGTGTATTAAATTTAAATATATTTTTGACAAAATTTTTGCTAATGAAATAGCTCGATTTTGCCTCATATATGATACGAATTTAAAAAAAAATGTAATCAAAATATTAAAAAAAATTCCAAAGTTGCCTCCATTATATAACTTGCATGACCCCGCGAATAACTCGTTACGAAAATCGACAAATCTGCAATAGGAAATTTCTTTCTTTGCAAAATACTTTTGACGGGGAAACTCACCTCTCTCGAATGGATTAGCCCGAGTCTTGTTGAAAAAGGCCTCTTGCAGTCGTCGCGACTCGAAGCACCAAGCAGGCTCTCGTCTGAAGGCAGAACTCGCCGGGGCGATGGTGCTTGGTGCTCGAACACGCGGCGTTTTGCAAACGAGAGTCTTTCTTTCCTTCAAGGGCCGCCGGTATCGAACACAAAGACTCCCACCAGAAGCACAACCCCTCATGACGTCGAGGACGAGCCCTACTCACTGGTAGTTCCTTGACCAGCCTCACGCGGCGCATCTGTCAGCGGGAAGAATTTCTGCACCAATTCGTGCCAACAGAACAAAAGTCGCTTGATTGATCAAAAAACATTTAAGTATAGTCAAATTTTCTCTTTTGATTATGTATAATTAATAATTAAAATATTTTAAAACATTTTAATCTAATTGAAAAGTCGTATGTAGCTACTCAGAATTCAAAAGTGCATGGAATGATCTAGAAAGAATTTTAATTTTGGTTTCACTCTCACGGTTTGGTTGGTACTTTGGTCCATTCAAAGCGGCTGGGCGTTGAAAAAAGCAGGACAGACCAAAACAGAGCGACGGAGTGAGAAAATCGCTAAAGATGAATCCGAATTTCGAAGAAATCGGCAAGGAGTTCGTCAAGCAGTACTACCTGCAGTTCGACAACATCGTCACGAGGCCGAATGTAGTAAATTTCTACAACGCCGAAACGTCGCTGATGACCTTTGAAGGGAAACAACTGCAGGGCGCGCCGGCCATCATGGACAAGTTCTCCAGCCTGGGCTTCAAGAACATCAGCAGGATGATCACGGCGGTCGACCCGCAGCCCATGTTCGACGGTGGCATCGTGATCAGTGTCATCGGAAGGCTGCAGTGCGACGAGGACCCGCCGCACGCCTTCTCGCAAGTGTTCGTGCTCAAGCCCCTGAACGCCACATTTGTGCTGCAACACGACATTTTCCGTCTTGGCATTCACGACACCGCTTAATTGACTGCCGAGACAATTGACGGATTGATTGCCTTAAAATGAGGACTGACTAAAGCCCTTGAAGATTCCAATATGTTTCTGTTTATTTCTCTTTGTCTAGTTTTTCATTCGCCAGGCGATGTCGTCGCGAAACATGATTTCAAACTGTAATTCTTTCAATGCGGCTGCACACATTCTACGATATTCTGCTGAAGAATTGATTGTAATAATTATTAATATGTGAAAATGTACTTTGCTTTAAGTAAGTCTCAGCCGATACATACTACTAATGTGTACGTACTAATGAAATATTAAGTGAAGAATTGACACCCAGGCAATTTGGTATGGCCCTTCGTGGTTGTATGATTATGGTGGAAAATCAAATTTAAATAAAAAACATTTTTACCATGTAATTCTAATAGCTGTTTGTCTCAAGAATTTATCCTATAAATGTTTGAACTTTATAATTTGCAACTAGTTTAAATTTTGTCTACAATGCAGAGGATGCGATCAAAAAGTCAACACTTAATGCAAGTCAAGTTTGCGCTTTTTATTGGTAAAATCATATTCACTACTTACAGGCTCAACCTTAACAAATACACATTAATATTTAGTCATTTATTAATTATCTACTGCATATCTTACAACTATTGCAGTTTCGATCACATCAGCAGTCTTGTCGCATGACTTGCCTTAACAATTGGGTTTTCCGAATTATGCCTCTCTTGACACAGACAAGACGATTGGCACAAGGAAATCAGAACTTGGGATGTATCAAAGCCATTTAGAAGTTTTTGCATGAATTTGATATGAAGCTTGTGGGGTGCAAATAATTTAGAAGCTTAATGGCCAAAATAAATGCGGAGCAAGTGGATTGGCAAAACGAGCAAGACAACCTACACGTTTTGCTCCTTAGATTTCCAGATGTGCCTTGCTTGCAATAATTTAAAATGTGCGATGGTCACAAAATTAACATAATTATCTCGACCAACTTACAATCCTCGGAAAGTGTAGGAATGTAAGTCATGTTGAAGCAAAGTTTATGTACAATCAATGTCCATACCGGTCCATACATTGTGTTTTCCTGCAAAGGAAAAATGGAGATGCGAGGAAATAAATGAACTTATTTGGGAGCAGGGAACATCTCGTGAACTAATTCCTTCTTGTTCACTTTGCCCATGGCATTCTTGGGAAGTTTGTCGACACATTTCAGGAGGGTCGGAATGCTGTACGGTGCCATGTGGCTTTTTGCCCACTCACGCAATTCAGACAGGATGATTTCCTTGCCCTCTTTTGGAACTACAACTGCTGCAATCTGAAAATTAAATAAGCGATAAAATGCAACATTTATTTTTCCATTTAAAAAAATTATTACTTTTTGACCCCAAGTAATATCAGGAACCCCGACCACAGCACAGTCAGCAATGTGTGGGTGCGACAGGAGGTTTGTTTCTACGTCCAAAGCTCCAACTTTGTATCCTCCAGTCTTGATGATGTCCACAGACGTCCTGCCTATGATTTTGAATCCTTTGCCTTCAGTGTAGCTTGCCGTATCCCCGGTTTTGAACCATCCGTCCGGAGTGAATTCCTTGGCAGTCGCTTTTGGCTTGTTAAAGTAACAACGGAAAACTGTCGGTCCTTTAATCAACAATTCTCCTTCAACCTGAATATATAAATATTTTTAAACCACTCTAACATGGAAGAAAAACCCATCAAACCTCTGTTTGTCCTGGTTGGGTGATTCGTGTGGAGTACGAATTGCCCTCAGCTAGAGTTTTGTATTCAGTTTGATTTGGTGTGAACTGAGCGATCCTGGCGTGCACGTGTGGGAGTGGATAACCAACAAAGCCTGTTTGAAATTGAAACTTAAGGAGACTCCAAATATACATCTCAAGTTGCTTACCAGGCCGCCGTTCGCCTTTGAGTGGATTGGATAGGGCCATTCCAATCTCGCTCATTCCGTATCTTTCGAGCAGTCTGTGTCCAGTCACTTCCTCCCATCTTTCGAAAACAGGCACCGGCAACGAGGCCGAGCCGCTGATCATCAGCCGCATGTTCTTTTTGCACGCAGCCTTGATGTACTCCTTCATGCGCTCGTTCTTCGCAAAGATGTCGTCATACTCCTTCAGCAGTTTCAAGTAAATAGTCGGAACTGCCATGAAGACATTGACTCTGTCCTTGGCAGGAACTTTGATCGCCAGCAAGTGCTTCCAAACCACAGAGGTATCGTACTGCGGCATCATGATGCATCTGTGTTTTTACAATATAAGTTTTAATTTTTAATGGTTTTTAATAATCTTACTTTGCGCCAACATAGAGAGGGCAGAGAAGGGCATTCATAATTCCGTGCATGTGATGAAGAGGAAGGGTGTGCAGGATTACATCCTTGCTTGTAATTTCCCAGGCCTTGCACAACGAGGAAACTTGATGGTGCAGGTTGCTGTGTGTAAGTACCACCCCTGAAAAGCAGGATTATTTTGAGCAACTGAAAATAAGAGGAACAATTAATCTCATACCTTTTGGTTTTCCAGTAGTTCCACTTGTATAGACCATCATGGCATCGCTCTCTGCGTAATAATCGTCTGGCTGGCCAGTGACCAGTTCTTGCTCTGCGCCTCCCAAGGGATGGTCCACGATTGTGTCGCAGAGGTGAAGGGGTGGAATGAAGTCCTTCTGCTTCATGGCCAGTTGGCGCAGGGATTCGTCCATCACGAAGTACGGCCGACCCGTCAGCTCTGAAAGTTCTTTGCCTATGTCTGCGAATTCCTTTGTGGTCACCAGAAGAGCCGAGTCGCTGTCGTCGATGAAGTACTGCAGCATCGGCACAGGGTGCGAGTGGTACAGCGGAACAGCTGCAAATAAATACTCATTTTAATTTAATTTATTCACAAGCAAAAATTATTATTAACCTGTGTGTCCTCCAATCCAAGTGGCCCATTGCGCGATCACGTAGGAAGCGTTGTTGGGGCAAAGGAAGGCGATTCGAAGTCCGGTTTCATTAGTGCCAAGTTTGTTTCTGATCTCGCTGGCCAACTGGTTGCTGCTGAGCAAAAGACCGCGGTAAGTGTACTCGCCATGCTGATCATGCAGGGCGACGCGGTCACTGTAGTCGGAAGCAAGTTTGAAAGCAGGAAGAATCTGAAAAGAAAAGAAAAAATGCAAAATTTAATATTAGTGTTAAATTTGAAAATAAAAAGTAGTTTCATATAATTATTAGTATAATATTTAAAAGTGAATTGTTCTTAATTGCAGAATAAAAATTAAAGTAGAATAAATTAAATTTTTCTCAGGAATGAAAAGTTGAAGAGCGTGTTTACTTTATGCTGTAGAAGGTAATTCAATATTAAGACTAGAATTTCTTATTTGGAGTTAAAACAAATAAGAAGCAGTGGAACTCGTTACGTTTTTTTTATGCTCTCTCCGACTCTTAAAAAGGGCGCAAAACTCGTCGTCTGAAGATAAATTAAACTGGTTTGTAGCAGCAGAATATAATAATATCCCAATTACTATGCAATTAAGTTTGCAACCAACACAATCTGTAAGTATGCAAGATGCGGCGTAATAGATTTGTTTACGTTTGACAGTTTATAAGTGCTGCAAAATTGTTTGATCGCGACCTAATAGGCTAATAGCATTATCAGACAAGTATAATAAAGAAATTACTGATAAAATACCGCAGATCGTTAGAGAACTTTGTCACTTCTTGGGAGAAAAACGCAACGGAAACGATTTTGATCTTACAATTAGAAATACCAGCAGAATTTAATAAAATTTCACAATCCTGCATCGAGTATAATTACATTTGCTGGTCAAGCCTTTCGTCAGCAACTTTGTAAACACTGCGATTGGCAAACTGGCAATGATTAATTATTGACTTCTGCCGCCAGCGTGGCCACGAGGATCACCGATTTAGAAGCAATGATGAATTTAATTGCGGCTCGCAGTCAAGTGCATCCTGGCGCAAAAATTTGCTAGGCGTCGCCGTCTCGATCTCGTGATGTAATAATTCTCAGCATAAACACGGCGCCGCGCGGCCGCCAGACCAAAATAAACGCACGCAGCGGAATGTTTTTTGTGTTTTGTTCTTCACCTTGGAGGCTCGCCACAGTAATTTGCGCGTGAACTTTTAATTAAAAAAGAAATCAGAGCGGGCTGGTCAATTCAATGAAGTCTGAAATTACCGCCAACAATTTGGGGCAGAGGATCGTTTTAATTTTTGCTAATTTTGTCTCTACGCGAGGATCGTCGGAATTTAGAATCCGAGTCATGAGTGTACTTGTTTAAAATTATATGAGATAAAGTACTTTCGAACAGGCTTTCATGGGCACTGAACCTTGAATGTTTGTTTTCACTCACAAACAGCTTGAATATTAATTCCATTAACTCATCGACCAGGCTGCACGTTGTACAATATGAAAGTTCTCAACTTGTCACAAAAACAAGTACACTTAGAAACATAGAGGACAAAATGTTGGTTAGAATAATCTTAAGAGAGGCTTTAGCCGACTTTTAAAATAATTATAATAATAAAAAACAGCCTTTTCTCAACATTATTTTTGGGTCTAAGATGACAGTTCTTAGAAAACATAGTAAGAAAAATTGAATTTATTGGGAGGCCTGAATTTTTGAAATAAAACATCATTTCTTTATTTTCTAAAATAATTTTCTTTCTTTCAAAATTAGCCCGATCAAATTTGATAAAAATGTCAGAAAATGACGTTCAAATCACCCCAATTAAGACGGAAAAATATAATTTTTGACATCAAAAAACTTGCATTAATCTTATTGGAAAAGGTTGAAAAGTTTTATTTACAGTGTAAAAGTTAAAATTGATAAAAAATATAATTTAAAACTATTTTCTTTTTAATTTTAATTAATAATCAGGAAATTGAGAAAAAATATTTCATCTTAATTTAAATAGGATGCAAAGATTACAATAACTTGTATTTTTTTACGTCTCAATTTTAATTTGATGGGGTCTGGTAATTTAAAGAGCAAGATCAATCGTTGTGCGTTGATTCACAAGAAAAATAGTTCACGGCCATGTTGGCAGGATTTAGAGAGCGTTTTATTTTTGTCAACCGCTCAACGCAGTATGCGGTGGACCGCTTCGGGTCTCAAGGCTTTGCAAAAAATAATTCAGAAGGTCCCTTCGAGTGGGCGAGTGTATGCTCAAGTAATTTGCAAATTAAAATAGCGCGAGGCTTTAATTGCGCTGGACGCCAAAGTAAGAGAATTAGCGTCACATACTGAGTTTGAGTCAGGATTGAAATGCGACACTTACACTGAGAGAGCGATCAGGATTACATAGCAGAGTTTAAAACGGCTTTGATTCAAGGAAAGCCAGAGGGATTATACGCGGTGAAAACATAAAAAAGCGTCGATAGATGATTTAAGAGTGAAATAATACAAATTCAAGAGCGCAGAAATGACGTGGATTTCTATTTAGGTTTCAAGGCAACAGAATTCGATTTAATGAAAATTGAGTAATTTTGAAATTACTTAAAAATTTGAAAAGTGTTTGAAGAAATTGATACTCGAGGAGATGATCGTGGAATTGAAGAACTTGGGCTTTATCTTCATTGTAAAAAATTGCTTTTATTTAAAAATAAATGGCTCTTTGTTTTTGAATAAAAACAATTTTTACAACGAGGAAAAGATCCGATTCTTCAATTGGAAATTAAAAAATTATTTAAATATTGGATTAACTTAAACAAGTCTAGATAAATTGGTATGCTTTTCACAAGAGATTTTAGGCGGAATAATTAGAAACAGTAATTTATGATAAATGTTAGCAAAACGACTTATTTTTATTTTTCAACTTTTGTTTCCAAAATTAAAAAAGAGGAAGGGTTAAAAAGCTAAGAGACAACAAGAAAAATATACATATTATTTGACATTATTGTTGTCGTTGGTGGCCCAGACGCCGCGCACTTACAAGTGCTATTACTGTGTACTTAAAAATTTCTTATTTATCGCCGTGAAAGCTGGCGTTGCGAGTTGGGTTTGATGGCCTTCTGCTTACTTACACCCTGGCGCCAGGCAACCGGTTTCAAACTGGGCAATTGTGTTTAGCAATTGCTGTAATTGCAGCCGTGTCACGATTTTTGAAACGTTGCGTGCGAATTGAAGCAAAAACGCGGTAAAGCAAAAGGCCAAAAATACATTTTGGCGGCGCACAAAGAATTTTATTGAGGGGACGCGCCGCTGCCCGCACGTATACACACACAGACATATCAAGGACTCTGGTAATTAGAGTTGGGGCGGTGGCTATGCGAAAAAAAATGTCTGCTCATTTAAGTAATTTTTTTTTGGAATAACAATAAAAACAATCCTATTATTATAAATTCAAAAGTTTTCAGCAATTTAAAAAACTCTTAGCATTCCTAAACAAACTTTAAACTTTCCAAAATTTCTTACTGTCGTTTATTTCTCTTTAACGTACAAATTTTCAATTAGAATTGAAGCTTTTAACACTGAAATTTTTAAATTTTTTAGTGTCAATTTTAACTATTTTGTTTCAAGAAATTAATACTCGAGGAGATGATTATGGAAATAATGAAGAGATTGGGCTTTTCTTCAATGCAAAAATCCCAATTTCTTCATTTCAAAATTTAATCATCTTTGAATTAAAAAGTTTTAAACAACTTAAATAAAAAACGTGGCATTCCTAAAAAGAAAAAATCACTTCGAACTTTCTCAAATTTCTTACCATCACTTTCTCTTAACTACGACTTTTGTAATTATAATTAAAACTTTAACTTAGGAATTTGATAATTTTTGTTTCAATTTCAAATATTGTTAAAAAAAACTTTTTTTTAATTTTATCTACCTTGTTGTCTTCGTATTCGATCGCAGGCGGAATCTGGGCTTGAGTGGCGAACGCCCTGGGGTCGTTGGCGACCCTGGCAGGCGCACTAAAGGTCAACAGCACCCGTCTCTCGGCGGAAGGAAGCGCACACCTCAAAGCGAGCGCCCGCTGCTGCCGTCGAGACCCCACTCGGCACAACACACGTCCGATTGTGATCATGGTCTGCGAAAATACGGATTCAAAATTTCAACCATGAATTGTCAAAAATAAAGTCAAAAAGTACTTTTATAAATAAGTTAATGAGGCACGAGGGAATTGATAAGAAAGCATAAAAATAATTTTACAACCGCAGTTGGAATAAATCCAAAATTTAAGTATTTTCACCAGAAATTTTAATTAAAATAAGTTGAATTTACATAAAAATGAAAATAAAAGTGAACCAATACATTCATTTTCAATTTTATTCGATGACAGGAAATAATTTTTGTTTGTCTGGATTGGTTGACCTTGGTTGGCTTGGATGTTCTGCCGTGTCTACAATCTACACAATTTTATCTGATTTTTACAGTAAAAAGATTTCGATTATTCATTAATAATATTAAATGCGTTTTTCAACTTATTTTCGAAATAAAATTAAAATAACTGAAGATGATAACTATATGAAAAAATTTGAAACTTGCATGAAAATATTAATGAAGTCTAAACCAGACAAAACCATAAAAAAATGGCTTAATTATGTAATAATGTATAACAAAATAAAGAGACGCACTGTCACTTCTCTGCTAATAAGTCACAACGACGCCGCACAAGTTTACCATTCTACCTTTGATTTACTGATTTCAGCTGTGTTCAGGATAAAATGCAATGGAAAAAGAACCACAACTATGTAGAATGATGAAATCAAGCCAAACTAACTTAATGTAGATTCAAATCTAGCAAATCTCTTGTGCTTTTTCCTCGGAGCACGGTTCTTAGGGTATTTATTAATAGCTACGACGAGATAAAAAGCCAAGGCCAAGACATTATCAAATAAATTCTATTCAAAAACAGCAAATTTCGGAGGAAAATCTCACCGTGCAGATGGAAGATTCGCGGCGGCTTTGTTGATCTCGGAGAAGAGCGAGTCGATTGTGGCCACCAGATGTAAATCGTACTCCGGCGAGATGCCCAATCCGTTGAAGGACAGACGACAAAGGCCACTTGTCTCGGCGGCCGTCCACGCACGGCTCTTGCTAAAATTTAGACTGGTAAATCGCGGTGGGGCTTTTTCGCAAGCAGAATCAGATGGGATGGACAGGACAGGGGGTTCCTCCCACTTTTAGGTCGACGGTGCTGCCATCGACGATTGCAGAAGTAGAAAAACAAGCGGGACGAGATCTATGCAACCTGCACGTCTTTGTTGCTGAGCGGGTATGCCTATGCTTATGTTTCCATTTGCTAATAAAATGCACTGCAGTGTTAAAGGTATCCCAGTGGGATTTTAAGACAATAGCCACATTTCTTTTTAATCATATTTTATTATTTCCAGTTCTATTACAATAATGGGTCCCTAAAAGAATTAGCCTCTTTTGAAATTTTTTATTTAGGCACAGACAGAACTGTTTCTTCACAACATCTCAGAATTTTATGTCTTTCAAATTTTTTTCCAATCCAGCAAGGACTCCATGGGAAGCCAAGATTTTTTTCCCTGCGAACATACCACTGACTAAATTACAATGAAAATAATGTAATATTATGATTGATTTTTCTAATTAACAGAAAATTTTGTGCTCTGCTGGCTCTTCCCCATATATGCTATACATATGTTTAGATTTTAGTCACATTTCTCAGATATGCATGGTGACGCTGTGCACCATCTCAAGCTCTTCAACCTGTGGAGGCTCAGACTTCACTTTAACCTCTTCAACATCTCGAATTTCCTGGGGTTCTTTCTTGAAATTCTCAATAGGGATCCGCTCCAACTTGATTTTCATTTCTCTAATAGGAATTGGTGCCATTTGAGCTTGTAGGCGAACAGCGGGCTTAATGTCAGCGTCTTCTTTCTCAGGGGGTGAAGTCAGGCCCGGACTGGGCACTCTGGCAGTCGGGCCCGACCTTGATGGGGCGCGGCCCAATTTATTGGCTGAACTGGGCCGCGCTACCTCAATGATATTGCCCTGTGGGCCGCAGAGCCCCAGTCCAGCCTGGAGTGAAGCAGCACTTGGTGCAGCTTCGGACTGTGGCTGGCCACTATTAGTTCGACGCCTTTTGCTGCGGCGCTCTTCAGCATTTGTGGCAGGAGAAGGAATTGCTGGACTTGGCAGGAGCCCAGGGAATACTCCCATACCCTGCAGGGGATACCCATTGGCCACAAGGTGGTTGAAGAAATTACCTTGATCTTGGCCATACACACTCTGGCCTCCTGTATAGGGGTTGAAGGGTGGCATCAGGTGAGGCATCATGGCAGCAGGGTGGATCATATTTGTGTATGGATAGTAACTGATTCCAGCCATCAATGGTTGAGGTGTGCCAATTGGGCTGGAGTAATGTGCTAAAAAATAATGCAAATAAATTTCTCTAATTGAAAATAAAATATTTATCAACCATCTGCTTACAGAAATAATGCTATTCTGCTCTCATCGTTACCAAGTGGATTTATAATAAAATAAAAATTACAGTGGCAAAAATATAAATTTATAAGACTGATAAAAAATGAGGCTACTTACGCATAGGTAAAGCAAATGGGTTCATGCCAAACATAGCACCAGAAGTATTCTGCTGCAGTTGATAATCAGCAGTATAACCAACACCTCCAGCAACCTGCTCAACAGCAGCAACTACTGGAGTTGTTCGTTTGATTGCACCTTGTCCACACTAAAAAAGAGCTTGTTAAACAATAATAAACTATTATCCATCAAATATACCATTTCAGATTGCACGGAAGAAGGTTCCAGAGGAATTGGAGATTCATCAGCAAAATAGTTTGGGCTAATCAAGTGGTCAACAGTTTTGGGAGTAGAATTTTGCTGCAGTAGAGGAGACGACTGGCTTAGAAGTTCAGCAGTAGATTGCTGAGGATACAAAAAATATTTATTAGTCTCTTATTTACCTTAATACAAATTAATCAAATGATAACCTGCAAGTTGGGTGTGTAACTTTTGGCTTCAGTTGGCTTCCTGTAACGCTCCAAAGGAGTGCTCACAAACGAGTCTAAAATTTAAAGAAAATGTATAGTTTTTTTTTAACTTCATTATATTTTAGAAGTTTAAAATATCACCTGCATGTGAATGCACTGACTCACGGTCAACCTGGAAAAAATTTATTTCAAATTTGGTTCAAAATATAAATAAATGAAAATGTGAAAATTCTTACTTCATCATGTGCTTGCGCGGATCGAGAGCGTAGATACCCAACTTCAGGGGTAGACTCCATGTTGAACTTTGCAGCAAGATATTGGCCCTGCTCTTATTTAATTAACGATTATTTAAATAAATAATATTAAGTCCTACCCTGCCATAGCACTTCTCAAGGACAGGCTCCTTGTCGGCTGGCTTTATTGTTGGACGTGATTGGGCATTCTTAGCTTGGCTACTTTTAGCCCAATAATTGAAGAAATCTTTAGAAGTGTTCTACAAAATGAAAAGAGCATAAGAAAATTGCTGCTTAATTAAGATTAAATACCAAAGATTTTAGAGTGGAAACTGAATCATAGCTGTGCACACTTGCATCATCGTCATCATCACTGCTGCTCAAAATGCTGGTCATTGTTGGAGGAACTGATGCTGCTGGTTGAAGAAATGTTGTCTTCATTGGCTTTTCAAGACGATCACGCAGAGGGTGCTGGATAATGGGCAGTGGCAGCTCCTCCTCTTCAACCCTGCCCGCAGTGGGGTTCCAGTTGTGATCAGCATGATCTGTGGGAGTGGAGACATTAGATTTATATTTCAAATTTAAAAACAGGTATTGACCATTAGGTGGCTGCAGGGCCACTGGAAGCCCATGTCTAACAATGATAGGTTCAATGGGAATCTCAAAATTGTCCAACTGTTCTTCAGAGCTTATGGATGCATCTGTTCTAATCTCAGTTACTTGGGGTCTCTTTGACAAGAAGACTGGCATATTTGTCCTGTAAGTGATGGAGCGGTTCACAGGAAAGTGACGCCACACACGGCGCTTAACTCCCAAAAGGTTGCAGCAATAGTCGGAGATTGTGTACGTCATACGAATGACCCATGACCGACTGCAATGATCAAGGCAATCCACTTCTGCATGAAACTGATTAACAAAAAAAAAAAAAAAAAAAAAAAAATTAATTTCACTTTCCTCTGTTTAGGGTTAAGACTTGATTTTCAATATTTGAAATTTTTAATACCTTGCATGCAATTTCTGGTGCATGGGAGTATGGGTCATTGTGAAATTTAGCATAAATGAGCGAGTCATTTTCTGAGAAGCAAACGGCTTCAGCCTCTTCGGGCACATCAACATTTCCAATCCGAACACTTTTCACAGTCAGTTTCAGAATGTTCATCAGGAGCACTTCAATGGGGTAGACAGAAATTATTGGCATGTCTAAATATGGCTCTCCACCTAAAATAAGGTTAAAAATTTACAACTGCTTCAGTATTCGATCATCACCTTACTAGGGGTTGTTGGTGGAAAACAGCAGCACATGATGGCACGGAAGCATTCGAAAGTAAGCTCAGCAACACTTTTCACAGTGTACATGGGAGGCACAGGGAGCTTGTGCAATTCTTTTAAATTGAGGGTATCAATGGGCATCTGCAAAACAAATTTGTCTTTCTAGTAATTAGTTCTACATATCAGCGTACAAAATTAAGCACTAAAAATATGTCCGCACATTTCAAAGCTTGAAGTACAAATTTAAGCTTTTAAAGAATACACTAAATAAAATTTCTTCAACATTACTTAAAAATTCAATAAAAAAAAAAAAATATCTCACATCAGGCAGCATGAACTTCAGGATTTCCCTAAACACTAACTCAGCATTTGTCTCTCCAAGGCCCTCGGCTGGTGTTGGAATTTTGTGTGTCGCTTCAGAGTTTTGCATTGCGTCAGCAGCATATCCACGAGGAATGGGTCCTTAATAAAAGTTTTTTTATAATAACTTGAACATTTCATTAAGAAAAAGAAACAAGCATACTGATGTTCAAAATCTTCTCGTAAGTATCAATGACACCGTCTTTGATGGTGTACTTGCAAATTGCCACTTCACAGGGCACCACAACTCCATCCTTCAGTGTACGGACATGAGAATTGGCATGACAGATGAAAAATTCTTTTGTCTGCAAAGCTGGATACAATTTATAAAATACATAGATTAAATCTAAATCTTTTTTTTTTACTTGTTTCAGCATCCAGAGCATCAATTGTTTGCTCAATGTCTTCAATGGCTTCTTGCATCAACTTTGATTTCAACTTCTGTTGCTCTTGGATCTCCACGAGCGATCCACTAGTGCCCAAATTGCCCCTTGCCTCGTCGCTGCAGTTGTTTCTCGCCTTGTTGGCCTTAATTTCAAAAGGCGACCTAGCTTCAGGATCCATAGCCTGAAAATGAGATTCAATTTTAAAACATTTCCAGCACAACATAAGCAGTACAAAAAGGCGTGCCTTCCATGAGGGTCCTGCAAGTTCCTGCAGTTTCTGAAAGTCATTTAACTTTCCACCAAGATGCCTGATGTTGTAATCCAGCATGTAGTAGTAGAATCCATTCTTTTGGACTTTCCTCTTGGCCTTCTTCTGCTTTTTGCTTAGCATGCCTTAAACATAAAATTTAGTTTTGAAATGACGATGCTGAGGTTATACTTTAGCATATAGACCAATCATAGATTTGAAATTTTATGTGGATATCGGTGGATATATTTCTAAAAGGCTCATTCAAATTTATGTAGCAATATTTTCATTTAAAAATGTTCCCGCAATAATTATCTGAAAGTGCAAAAATGCACAAGAGGAAAAGAAAATATCAAACACCTTCAGCAGCTCTGGCTGTTTCATAAGAAAGAATTTTTATGTTCTTTATAGATCAAGAAACAAAATTACAGTACAATTAACAAGCTTTAACACAATTTAGAGGCGTATACATGAAATATTTTAATACGAGTCTTTAGTATACATTTAACTCAAATTGGCCCAAAAATGACCCTGATTTTCACATATTTTGTTGAACTAGCAAAGAGAGAAAATGCTCTCCCACTTGAATAAATTTTGAGTATTTGGCTGGGAAATCAGATTTTCTGAAAAAGTGCGCAAAGAGAAACAGAAAATATTGAATATCTCTGCTTCTATATGTAATGAAAATTAGCATGACGTCTTCTTCACTTCTCACAATCAGGGTAACTTTTTACGCCGGCAACTTCTCTGTTGACGTTTTTGTGTAGGTCAAAGGCCAAGTTTCACTTTTCTGACGCGCATTTTTCGCAAAGATGCGATATTTTTCGGGGTGTAGGAAAAAATGTTGCTCAAAGTGTGCATAACAAAACCCTTGATTTTAAAAATGGGGTTATTTTTTGCTTAAGAAATATTTTAAAATGAATTTTGAAACAAATCGAAAATTGCTATAGTGCGCATCTCGAGAATCAGCCATTTTTCACTATGTACTTATTAAAATTCATTTAAAATATCTCTGAAGCAAAAAATAACCCCATTTTGAAAATCAACTGTATTTTCTACACACTTTTGAGGCTAAATTTTTACTATTATCCCCATAAATTTGAAATTTGGTGACCTCGACCTTGGAGCTACAGAAAAGTTGTATTAAGGGAAAAAGCACCCCAATTTATGTAATAAAAAAACGGTCCTTGGCAAAATATAATCTTACCAATTTCCCAGGGCTTCATCGTCGTGCTGTGGTCGTTTACGGTTTTTGAATTTCTAGCAAATTCTAATTTTTGCGTCCTGTGAATTGAACAAATCACAAAATAAGTTACATAGCTGTATGCATAGATGCTATACCAGTAATTCAACAAAAATTTCCTGGAATTTCGAAAGATTTAAGCCGAAATTAGGCAAAATAAAATAGCGATCGCTGCAGCAAGCGACGCGCAATAGAAAAATGAGAGAATTAGCGCGAAATCTACTCACAAGAACCAGATTTTGTCGGTTCAACTAGACAAATTCGCACGGCAACAGCAGTTTGCGCGGTTCATGGGGCGACTGACGCTTGTCGCTTGCAAGTTCCGACCTGTCTGGGCGTTCGAATCGGCAGTATCGGCACAGAGTCTGCACATAAAAGTGATAAAAGTGATGAAAGATGAAACTCGACGCAGTCGCACGCACCGCACTTGCAAAATAGGAAAGGTCCACCCCCTGGGGAGGAAGAATGAAACCGACCAAGAGACTACAGAGCGAGTCGAGACTTGTCTCGTCATGAGAAAAGAGATGAAAGAAGACGAAAGTCACAAATCACAAATGAGTCGCATTCATACAAAAAGCATTATTGAGGGGGGAAGGAGAAAATTCTGTCTGGAGTCTGGAATGCTGAATTGGCTGAAATAGTACACTTATGCACACGAGTATGATAACACACAGCAACAGCACAGACAGAAATAAAATTAAAATAATACTTGTGAAAAGGAGAATAAAGTTGCAAGCTTGGCATTTTTCGTCCTCTAGTGTGTAGTGTTGATTTATTATTCGTTTTTGTGTAAATGATAGGGAGACAGGGAGAGTTGAGTAGAAGCGATTGAATAGGAATAAAAAAATATGCAGTTTGAATTTTTTAATAATTGCTTAATAATTCAATGAACGATCGGAAAATCATAAGAAGCAATGAAAATCATAAAAAATAGTTGTCTCTTTAGTCGTTCGTTGAATTTTTGAATTTATTTGAACTGGTTTTTGTGTGGGAATTTTTGCATAATATCAAATATTTATGTAGTTTTAACGGTTTGATTATAATTAATAAAATAATAAATTTAATGAATGAAAATATCATAATACTGAGCTTACATTATTGAATTAAAATTGAAATTATTGTATATTAATTGTAAAAATAATTAAAATTACTCATTTTTTTATACTTCAAGGAAACCTGCTCTCTCAATATACATAAATAAATCAACGGCCTTATCAACTAAAAAATGACCTAACTTAGGTTGAATTGATCCAAGGCTGGGATTGCAAACAAATCTACAAGGGTTGAAGGTTAAACGCAAACTTAAAAATTGTCGCAGCCCAGAGCGTGGCACAATATGTATATTTTAATTTTTTTTTATGATATCACAACTTTAGAAAAATTAAATTCGTTGTAATTTATCTGGTCACTTACAAGTTTTCTGATAATTCCTTTCTGTTTTTATTATTTTTAACAAAGTGAAATAGATATTGCTATAGTTTTAACAACGTGGAACCAAAAATTTCCAATAATAAATGAAAAAAGATAGATCAGCAAGACTTGACTTCAACAAAATGCAGAGGTTTTTCTAAGTTAAATTGACGCATGTATGATAGTTTGCTACAGGTTCCCAGCCATCATGTTTCGCACAGTCTCATCAAACACTCTGCAAAGGCAAAAATAATTAAATTAATTATTTACTGTACATAATTTTCATCTTCTCATATTTACTTTGAGGTTATTTGTTCCCCTGGTCGGTAAAACGGGTTGCAAATTATGTCTGCAAACACACTGTGAAGCCTTCGAAACATCTGGAAGATTAAAAATAAAAATTTTATTAACTTCTCAATACAAAGTAAGCCAGAGAGAGATTTAAAAAATTAATTTTAACCATTCGAACTTCGTTGTCTCTCAAGGAAGTGTTTGCAGCTTCCGTGACAATGACGAACTTGACTTTGGTGTTGGTCACGTACCCGAATCTAAAACAACAAGTTTAAAATTGTTTAAATTCCCAAATATTTTTAAGTATTAGTTTAAAATAAAATTATACTAGAGAATAGAAAATTCCCAACCAAACTTCTCCGACTGAATAAATAAATGAAAGATTTACATTTTATGCTCATCAGTGGAATTTAGCAGGCCAAGATAAAGTTCTCTAATGTCTCCACTTGTTTTTCCTGTTGCTGACATTTTTTCCTCCACAACATCTAATGAGTTGTGTACTTTGTAGTGAAGGTCCAACTCCTGGTTGGGATTCAAACACGAGATGTATTTTGGAGAGTTCTAGAAACAAAATCAGGATTAATTATAAAAAAATTAAACCTCCCGAAGATCATAAATAAAAATACATTTCTCTATGAAAATATTTAAATAATTTTGTACGTTAAAAAATTTTACATTTTCAGGACCGGAGCCAAATGAAAAATTGTTCTTATATATTCATGTTTATGACGTTGAACTTATTTTAGAATGAACTTTAAACTTACGTCTTTGCCTATGACTGCAACGCAAACTGCCATCGTTACGTTTATATTAGTGTAAAATAAATTATCTTGTTGATCAATTCACATTCCTGCTTTTGATGTTGATTGCTACGCCCCTTTTACTAGTTCAAGAAAAGGCCACTTGGTGGGCTGTGTTGCTTTTACGGCGGCAAAGGGAAGGTATGCAACTGGCTGCACACTCTGGTATAGCATGGTGCATACCACTGACTAATTGATTGATTTATATCTTGATCATATCATACATTTAATTTATTTTGGTATTTGGAAGTAATTGTTCAAGGAAATTATTTTGTAAATAAAAAACTCAGTGCTTGCAATTGGGAAAATTCATCATGTTTTATTCCATTCTTTAAAATAAGGAACAATATAGATTGTATGCATGTCATACACATTTCAATTTTGCTTCCACTGTGAAAAGCCGTACCTGTATATTTTCACATTTCAAAACAAAATTGATCGATCAAACGTCAGCTACTCCTATACAAAGATATTGATTGCTCGTGTGTACATTTCTCAGTTTCAATTTTTATTTCCGCAGATTAATTTTCACATTGCAAGGTATCCCTTTGGTGAGACAATAAAATTTAAGTACCTATCATAGTATATCAGTGCATCAAAACTGGTTCAAACTCGTGAGACGTCTATATAATAATAATAATAATGAAAGGTCAAAAACTCGGTGCATCTCGTAGTTCATAAACACCAAAGTGTGTGACAAAGAAAATTAATGGAATGATTGCAGAGCTCCAAATTTTTCTGCCGCTCGTTTCCTTACAATTAGACAATGAAATATGTTTTGTTTCCTCCGAGAGATGGAATGCAAATTGCTGTAATAACTATCTTACACACAAAATAAAATAAATTATGTTGATTCAATGCATTTGATATCAAATCCCTGATAATATAAGTAACAGAAAATGTTAATTATCTAACAACAAAATGACAAGAAATTATGCCTACATCAACCTTTTTGGAGTGTATTGATTTAATAATAATTTATTTATATCACACATAATAATGCTTTCAAAGTTTTAAGAGTGGTAGCTCCAAGTGTAATTTTTTCATCAATCAATTAAACACTAACTTTAAAGGGAGATTACATGTTAATTTATGCTTAAATTCTTAAGCACGCTAAATTTGTTGATGGCAAAGAATGCAGGCGTATGATTGGTAAAATTGACACCTTGTTTTCCTTTTTTATTTTGGTTTGAGATTACTTAAAAATGAGGTGCTTAATTTGATTATCCATCTCAGGTGAAAAGCAGTGCTCTCTATACAATTAGTAATTAAAATGGTGTGTGTATTTGTGTGGAAACTCTCAATGACTAACAATGGTCTTAAAATTAACTGCTGGCCAATTTTTGGAGCAGTGCGTTCCGTTAACAATTATATACTGGTAACTATATTTCCCCTATCAGTGAAGAAGTGCACTTGAAAAAGGCACTTCTTCTGCTGGTGCAGTGATTTTCAAACTAACTAGAAAGACGTGTGTTTTCACAAACGATTTTTTTTTAACAAACTACTTCAGAGACAAGGATATATTCGACAAACGTCAGATAAGTATATTTACAGGTGACTATACCCTGTCTCCATTTTCCGTCGTTAAGGCATATTAGGTGTAGGTGCCAGAAAAGCTTCGTTAGATACAAACAAACTTATACACTTCCACTGCTATATTATGAATATTTTACACTTTCTACAAGAAAATAATAAAGCCATTACTTGATTTGATCAGAGCGATCTGCAAACAATCAACCGAGGAACATCATTGTAAGGTAAAGAAACAATTAAGCCTCTCTCTAGAAAATGCTAGTGCTTCAGAAAGAAACGGACTCTTTTTTTATACAAAAACTAGAGAACTCTTCCATGATGATCATTTTTACAGTTATTTAAATGGAAATTAAATTATCCTTCAGATATACAACCGGAAAATTTTACCGGAACTAATTACGCTTTCTTTGGCTTGTTTTTTTACCGCTGGCTGGAAACTCCGAGCAGCTTAGCCGCGTCGTCGGCTGACTTGGACAGCAGCATGTGGTCGATCATGGCGCGGTCTTTGATGCCGAGCAGGTTGCCAATGAGATCAGCTTCGTCGCTCGCCTCATGACGACTAGCCAGGCTGGCCATCCTGCTGGCCCCAGCGTAGACGGCCAGACCGTGCTCGGCCCAGCGTCGCAAACTCTCCTTGTTGCTGCCGGTCGAGAGGTTGTCCTCGTCACTGTGCGCTTCGGACGCCGCTGGACCGGACACGCCGGCGTGCTTCTTGCGGTGGCGCAGCATGCTGTGCTTCAGGGTGAACTTGCGCCAGCAGATGTCACAAGTGAAAGGTCGCTCGCCGGTGTGGGTGCGCATGTGGCGGCGCAAATCCTCGGCAGACCAAAAGCGACGCATGCAAAAGGCGCACATCACCTGGAATTTGAAAAAGAATAATGCATTGGTAACGTTTCTTTTATTAACTGTTGTGTAGTTAAATTAAAAAAATAGTATATTTAATTTTACCAGTAAATTTTATAGCTTAATTTGATAAAATTTTCAATCTAATAAAGCAGACTAAAACTTGTAGCCAAACTTTCATTTCTGAGTTCATGAATCATTAAATTACAATAAGACTATACTTTAAATTTAAAGACAAAATTTATAATCCCAAAATTGGAAAAATTTATGCAAATTTTCAATATATATATCACAGAAGAATTTAGTTATTGTTGATATAAAAGAGACGGTTCAATTAAAAATGATCAGTAAACTCACCTTTCTGTTGGCATAGTCAGGAAACTTGCCCCTGAGGGTTTCCAGGGCGTCGTCAGCGTCAACATTGTTGTTGTTCATGGGCGGCGCGTTGACCGTGCAGTCCTCTGCGTTGGGGTCCAGAGCACCCTTGGAAACAAGGAGGTCGTACTCGGAGGAGTGGTGCACCTTGATGTGCTCGAGCGCCTCCTGCCGCTCGGCGTAGCTGTTCTCGCAGAGGTGGCACTTGAATGGCAGGTCGGAGTGGCTCTCCAGGTGGGCAGTGAGGCGAGCCTCGCTCGAGAAGGTCTGGTTGCACTTGTAGCAGGTCAGGTTGGCCGGAGTGACTGCGACCGGCTGCTCAGGAGGAGAATTGCTGCTCTCGCTGCTAGGGGGCAGAGGGTCAGGGGTCACACCCCGCCCACTGTCAGTGGTGCTTGGCGCTTCCTTGCCGCTGCTGGGAGGGGTTGCCGAGGTGCTGGTGGTTGACGGGGATGTGGAGGGCCGCTTGTTGTTGTGTTTGCTCGACATGTGCTTCCGCAGGTTGCGTTCGGTGCTGAAGGTTGAACTTGGGCACAGGGTGCACTTGAAGGGTCTTTCAGGGACGTTGCGGCTCAGGTGGAGGTGTCCGTCCTCGCTGCTGGGTGGCGGAAGAGGAGGGGGCGCAATTGGAGTGCTCGGAGGAGAGGTCGGGTTGGCCAAGGCGTCCTTGTTCTTGCTCTTGTTTGAGTGCTTGCGCAGAAGGTGGCGGTCGCAGTTGGACTTGGTGGTGAAGAGCAGTGGGCAGTGGGCGCACTTGAAGGGTTTCTGCCCAGTGTGGGTCAGGATGTGCCTCCTCAGGGAGCTGGACCAGGGGAACTTGCGGTGGCAGTATGGACAGGTGACCCTGTTGGGCGCTGTCGAGTAGGCGCTCTTCTTCTTGCCAGGGCTGTTTGGGGCGGTGCTGCTGGTCCTGCTGCCACCGCGACCCTCATCGCCACTGGTGATTTGGCCCTCTCCGCTGCTGGAGCCGTCATCAAGCACACCCTCGTCCATGTCGTCGCCTTCCATGAAACCTTCTTCCTCGTCTTCCTCTTCGTCGTCTTGGCCAGGGAAGAATTGTTGGAAGCTTTGAGCGGAGGCGTTGACCAGGAGGCGAGACACACTTGCAAGGTCAGGGTCGGCTTGGTCTTTGCTCTTGGGCTGTTCATCGATGACCAGTTCTGGCTCATCTTCCTCGTACTCTCCGTCACCTTCAGCAGCTTCGTCCTCGTCCATGTCGTTGTTGTGGTTCAGCTTGTTCTTCAGCTGATGGGCAAGCGCCAATTTCACCTCGTCTGAAATCCGAGCGTCAGCATTCATATTTCCTGAAACAAAATAAGAGAAAATATTAAAATTTACGGTTCAAAAAGTCTATATTGTTGCAGAAATTTTTATCAAAAAGATTTTAACTCCTATTGTATTATTGACATTTTTTTTTTTTTTTAAATATTTTTAATACATTTACTTTTGCATAAAAATCATAAAATGAAAAAAAAACTATATTAAAAATAATAATAAAAAAAAATCCTTAACTGGGGGTTTCGGGAAATTTAAGTTTGTTGAAAAAATTTTAATTGCTCCTTACCTGCATCATTGACTGCAGACAGCTGTGTAGCGGGGGGAGTTGGATCTCTCCTCATTGCAGTCAGACTAGTAGGTGCAGATCTTCTTCCACCTCGAGGCCGCTGGCACCAGAACTGAGGGTGTTGCTGTTTGACGTGGCGTTCCATGTTTGACCTCAGGGTGAATCGCGCTGAGCAGTGCTCGCAAGCAAAGGGCCTTTCCGTTCGGTAGCGCCTCTGCTTCTGTTTGGGCATCAGCACACCGTTCTTGATGACCATCTTCATGCCTGGCTCGGACATCTTTACTGGTGCCTCGATGACTGGGGGCTTCGGTTGCGTCTGAATGGGCGAGACAGGTCTGACGGGCTCGGGAGCGGCGGACACTGGAGGCTTCCTCAGGGCGTCCATGACCAAGGAGCCGCCCGAGTTGAGCTGCAGGTTGCGAATGAGCTCCTTCTGCAGGTGCTCCTTGACCTCATCCAAGGAGGATGGAGGACCCTGAGGCACCTGAGGCGGCGGAGTGCTAGCTTGGGCGCCACCGAACAAATGGGGAGGCATCAAGAAGGGGAAGGGGTGCCGCTGGAAAGGTGAGCTGAAGTACGACATGAAGGATGGAGGGAAGAACTGAGACGGTGGCCCAGGCAGAGTGTGACCCAAGAAGGGGATGTGGGGAATGTGAGGCGGGATGATTGGCATCTCCCTCGGTTTGGTCAGGTCCTCGGGCTGCTCCTGAGGAGGTGGTTTCACAACCGTGCTGACGGCCGGAGAAACGCTGGCGGGAGGAGCCGCCTTCTTGCTGAGATCAAGAGCATCCATGCTCAGGTCAAGTGGAGACACCACTTTAGGGGGATGAGATGTGGGAGGAACTGGGGACTCGTCAATGCTGCTGTTACGACTTTGGCACCTAGGAGAGTTTCCTGAAACACGATAAGAAAATTTTTAATAAATATTCACTTAATTTATAAGAAAAATCAATGCTTAGAAAAGAATTGAGCAAAACAATGAGATCAACTAAATTAATGCTCAGTAATGGATACTGATTTTGGCAAAGGTAATTTGTAAATAATTGAATTGTTTTAAATTACAAACAGAGAAATGATTTCAACGGGTGTCAAAGTTGTTTAAAAAATTATATTTAAATTATTTTGAAATCTTAAATTTAAATTTATTATTGAATTAAATCATTTGGAATATTTAATTAACGCTTGTAATTTTAAAAATATTTTTAAAATGACAAGTGTCAATGCATTTGTACCAATTAATTTTCTCAATAAATAATACACAACAATTAATTTTAAATAATAAGATTATTGCGCCTGAAATTAATTGATAATAAATTTAGATTTTACCTGGTGACATCAGCAATTCCTGCTCGTCCTCCTCCTCCTCAGGGTCGGCGCCTAGTCTGACCAGGTCGGCCGCTGAGAGGGTTGGGTGCTCGCAAGCGACGTGGCTCAGGGCGGCCACCCTGGTGGGGAAAGTCCGCTCGCAGGCGGCGCACTCGTGAGGCTTGTCTGGCTGGATGTCGCCCTCGGAGTGGCAGATGATGGAGCGACGGACCTCTTCCCTGGTGGTCCTGTTGTGTCTGTTGCGCAAGTGCCGCTCGCAGTTGGCCTTTGTGGTGAAGGCGTAGTGGCACAGGCGACACTCGAAGGGTCTCTCGCCGTTGTGGGACCGCAAGTGACGCACCAAAGTGGCCTTATCGCCGCTCGAGTAGGTGCACATGTTGCACAGATAGGGTGGTCCAGTCACCAAGTGCACCCTGTTGTGACCTTTGAGGGCCCTGAGGTTGGGGAAAACGGCCGAGCAGAGACGGCAAGGGAACTCTCCTCGCAGCTTCATCTGCCGAAGACTTTCGTCCGAAGACGAGGGAGACTTGGCCAGGTCCAGTTCTTTTGGTTCCTCCTTGGTCTCGAAGGTCTCTTTCTTGGGGGTCGTGGAGAGTTCGCTGATGGCCCTGACCTTGATGTTGGGCGACGGAGTGGACGGCGGACTCTTGGTCTGCAAGTCGAGTCCGGCGAAGAAGTCCTCTTTTTGTTCTTCGTACTGCAGCTTGCGGCGAGGACAAGTGAGGTCTCTGGGGGCAGCTTCGGTGTGCACCGAGGCGACGTGCATGCTGAGGGCGCTTCCGCACGGGAAGGCACGTCCGCACTCTTCACACTGGAACCTCTGGAACACTGAACTGGCCTTGTGGACGGAGCGCTCGCAGAACGCCTTGGCGATCAGAGGGAACTTCTCAGTGGAAAAGTCGACAAAGTTGAGGTCCTTGAAACCGACTTGGGCTTTGGTTTCTTCAATGGTCACTGGTTCATCTCCATGGGCAGCGTAGCGGTGGAGATTGAGTTCCCGTTCGGAATCAAAGGTGAGGAAACACTTGTCGCACCTGTCAGTGCAGGGTGGAACGGAGGCAGCTGGAGGCGAGGCACTGCTGTTGCTTCTTTTGGGAGAGGGGAAGGTGCCCAAATCACCATTGGACCTCCTGAAACAAAATTAGGAAAAAAAATTAAATTAAATTAGGAAATTTTCTTTTTTGAAATTATAACCATAGATATGATAAAATTATGTATAATATTAAAGAAAGTTTTGAATTAATTTTTATTATAAAAGTATTTTAAACAAAATTTAAATTTTAAATAAATTTAAACTTTAAAATAAATAAATAATAACTAAAAAATTAAATAGACTGAAAATTTTAACCAGCAAATTGAATTTGAAAAACAAAAATGTACCTCTTTCTGGTTTTGATTGCAATGTCATTATCACTGCTATCGCTGTCCATGCTGCCGTGCTGATGGTGGTTGTTGTTGACACTGCTCGTGTTGTTGTTGTGGGTGCGCATGTGGCGGTGCATGTTGCCGTTGGTGGTGAACGACACGCTGCAGATGCGGCACTTGAAGGGCCGCTCCCCCGAATGCACCAACATGTGCCTGTCCAGCGAGCTGGACGAGCTGAGCATCTTGCCGCAGATGCTGCAGCTGAAGGCCTTGCTGTTGTTGTTGTTGTTCAGGTTGAGCGGTGTGCTGGTGCTGCTGGACGAGGAAGAGGAGGCTTCGTTGTGGCTGCGAATGTGCACGGTGAACTCGTGCTGCCGGTCAAAGACGGTGTCGCACACCGGACACACGTACTTGACGCCGTTCTCCTCTTCGCCTTCGGTGCCGGCCTCGCTCGAGCTGGCGTCCGGCACTTGGGGCTCGGGGGCTGATGGGATTGCATGGTCCCTGGATGTCTGGAATAAATTTAATAAAAGTTAGATAAGAGATTTAAATACAAAACTTTAATCTAATGAATAACAAAAAATTTAATTTAATTTTTATTTATTAAAACTAACTCAAATTGATGTTAATTTTCTCCTTATTCTTAGTTCATATTTTGCAAAAGCTATATAAAAAGTATAAATTTTGTTAATAAGTTAAGAAATAAATAAAATTTATTTAAAATTAAAAAATTGAAGCAAAAATATAATTGGATTAAAGGATTATAAATAAAAAATTTATTTAATTTTTAAAATTCAAACTAATATGGGATATTGCAATAAACAAAGCAATTTTTTAACCACCAACAGCTACTAGATAAGATAACAAATTTGTGGTGTGCAAAATTTTAATTAAATCAAAATATTGATAATAAAGAAGAAATTATTAATTACTATAAAATTTAATTAAATTCAAGAGGCGATCAACACATAATTAGATGTCGAAGGCACAGACATCCGCTGCGCATCCACTCACCTCTCTCTTCATCACACGATGCGCTTTCCGCTTCCTGGCGCCAGTTAAATTGCAAGGTGCCTCCTGGTCAACGACAGCGGCCGTCGTCGGCGCTTCACCTGCCGCCTGCAAATCGGGCTCCGAGGAGCTGGACGCCTTCAGCGAGTCGGGTGGCGACGAAAGGGGGCTGTTGGAGCCCAGCTGCGGCCCCGAGGTGTTCAGACTAGTATCTTGACTCACGTCCGCCGCGCACGTACTGCTCCGCGTGTCTGGCGAGGACGTATCTGCAAAAAAATGAGGGGAATTCGCTCATTTAGATTTGAAAGAATTTGGCAAAATAATACAAAAATAATGCAATCATTTAATTTGATATAAATAGATAATGTTTCAAAACAAATACACAATTAAATTCTTTATGAATTATAAAAAATTGTACAATTAAAAAAACCAAACGTCAACCGATGCTCATGTCTTTTTGAGCTCGGAAGTTTTAGCAAAATTCTTGCTGGTGCTGGTGCCGTTTCAACAATTTCTTTCTTTTCAAATAATTTGATTTTCAACAATTGAGTGTAAACAATCATGTGATATAACAATTTGGACAAAGAAACAACAACACACAAAACTCAAATAATGACAATTGAATTCAATTAAATTTCTGATAAAAATTGCGAATTTGAGCGTAAAAAGAGAAATTTCTTTTTGACAGGAAACTTGCGTTTCGACAAATTAAGAACGGCTTTGACATGGTTTAAATGGACCGCAACATCCTCTCTCTTTCTCTCGACGGGTTGCTGATATTTTGACATCGAACGCGCGTGCCATTCCGGCGGCCAATAAACGGAACAAAAGTTTCCATTATCTCTCCACCTTTTTTTTACACACGTATCAATTATCAACAATGGAGGCGCAGAAAAAAGAATAAGAAGTGTCGCAAGAGAAAAACGAGAACGGCCGAGATAAAAAGCTTGAGAGACACAAAGGGCGGAAGGGTGTGCGTTCGGATGCGGGGAGATGGTGTCAGGAGGCGCGCGATCGAAAGTGCCGCGCGAGAGAGACGTGTCATCGCCTGCCCGCCGATTTCTGACTCAATTGTTGTATCGCGTAATCTGCTGACTCGGAACCCGATTTGCATGCACTCGTTCGGATCTGACGCAAATCAAACGCCGATCTCCGCGAATAACGGGGAAGGAAAGTGTGGAGAATTATATTTTCTTGTGCGCCGAGAGTCGAATTGAAGTAAAAAGTCGCGCCTCGGATCGACTCCGATGTATATATAAGTTAGTATTTTTCTTTCTTGAAAAACGGCATGCATGGATAACAAAGGACGAGCAAAAGAGATGAACGAAAGAAAGAAACGCGTGAATACACATTCAGAGCGTGTCTCTCCATGTCATCGGTTTTTCTCCGCGCGGCAAATAACGCTGCAGCATCTGAATCGCGGCAGGTGCGAGAGAAAAAATTACCATCAAATGATTTACAGAACTGGAGCAACTTTGTTATGGATATGAATTTGCGAGGCTGCAGATGATGATAATGTTCCGCTTCATTTAACATAAATTTTGGAAAAATAAAAACTGAGCATGAGAGAATAAGAAACGCGGGTTGCATAATTTAAGCGGCGTGATCGATGCGCTCTTCTTTCAATTTTAAACTGTTCCAAAAATTTAAGTGGAATTAAAATGAGTAAATCATGATATGGAATTTAAAAAATAGGCTCACTGCGGCGGATGAGGTCTTATTGATCTCGGAAGTTTCAGCAAAATTCTTGTTAAGTGGTGGTGCCTTTTTGTCCAACAATTCCCTTTTTTCTCAAATATGATGTTTTCAACAATTGAATTATAAACAATTTGATGTAAAAATTTTGAAAAATAAACAACAATCATTAAAAAAAGTAAAATTATTTGATATAAAAAGGAAGGACCCTATAAAATCTGCATAATTTCAGTTGAAAAGTTCAATCCTTAATATTTAAAAACAGAAATTACTGAAATGTTTCTTAAAAGATCGGAAATTTTGATGTTGAAATCATTGATTTCAGTTTGCAAACTCAACTGGAGTAAAATTGACTTATTGATTTGGTGAATTTTTATCAATTTTAATCTGACCAAGAAAAAATTATTTGAGAAAATTCTCATAAGAAACAATGTTAATTTTCTAAAATTCAGTTCTCCCAATATTTCTTTGTTGACATAAAAAAGTCAATGCTGATGATGCTGATGAGGAGAAAAATTATCAACAAAAATAAATGGGCTTTTTCAGCAGAAGTCCCTCATCGTGTTATTTTCAATTTCCACTGAATTGCGTTGAATATTTTACAAATTTATAAATATTTATTATTTGCAAATGCATTTTAGTTTCATCTCGTGAGCAACCTCGATTAATTCCAACAATGCGTTGGCCCTGCCTACGAATACAATGAGCGCACAATTATTACTCATTTTTGCGCGCCGCGACTTTCTTGCCGCGCGCGTTGACACCTTTTTAACCTCGTCGCCGCGCATTTACTTTTCATTAAACGCGTCTCTTTGTGTCGCTGCTGAGCAAATAACAAGTTAGAGTATAATATCTTCGCTGTGTGCCACACACGAGACGCGTGTATTTTCAAAACAAAAAAAAAAGATGCAGGAAAGGCACGTGGTCGGGTCAGGTATTAATTGGGTGACGCATCGCGGCGCAGCATCCCGCGATGCTATGGCAAAACAAAACTAAACCGCCTGTTACACGTTCTCTGTTATTATTTGACGCAGCCTCCGAGCGAAAGATGAGTGTGGGTTTGGAAACGAGAGAGCGGCGCAGAATCTCTAATAACAGCGAGTGAAGCGTTTTCATCATGGTTTAGGAAGGATAAGTGAATCTAATTATGTTTGGAATTGGAGATGCCGACGGTGCTGTGCGCATTTCGTATGGTTCGAGGAGAAAAAAGTCGACGCACTTTGTCGGAATTGGATGAATCTTCTCGTACTTTAAGGATGACGCGATTTGTTTTTGAAAGAAAATGAGGAGGATGCGCTGAGTATGATTAATGCGCACCACTTGTTACCAATTTTAAGTTTAAGGTAAAATTAAGCAGGATAATAAAACAAATGTGTTTAATGACAAAAAAACGTATTAAAATTAATTAAAAATGAAAATAACTGATGCAATTGCAAACTGTCATGAGCACTGCGGAATGAAAATTAAAAAAATTAACAAAATAATAATTATTATTATTTTTTTTTTAATCCAGTTGGTAACTTTTCTTATAAGTATTCAATGTTATAAAGCTAGGAAATCAATTTTTAAATTAATTCAAAGTAAAAAACGTCAACTTTAAACTTTTTAAAAAGTGTTGCGACAGATTATTGTGAATATTCCAGAAAAATATTCGAATACGTGGAAAATTCAGTATTTGAGATTTGTTAATTTGACGTCTTCCATTTAATAATAACGTTAACAAATTTCTAAATTTTCTGCAAATAGAGCAGATTAATCTGCACATTTGAGACTGATAAGCCTAATATTACAAGAAGTGATTAAAATTAAAATAGATGAATCGCATGAGTTGATTTATCTCTAAAACGGTCTTTCTGTCTGTCGGCTTGATGAATGCGACAATTTGACAAATAACATCTCAATTTTGTCATAATCTTTAAATCAAAAGATTCGACCTAGTTAAATCATCAGCAAAAAGCTACCTGATGTTTTGTTTCACAGTTTTTGTTAATAAATAAAATCGAATGAGAATTAATGAGGCTTGTAAAATATAAAAATTAAAACTTTAAAATATGTAAGATATCCGTACTAATGAATCCATAATTTAAAAATCTGAGACCCATTTTTGGAGGCCAGGAGAAGATCAGAATTATTGATATTGATATGACATTAAAATTAAAGTCATCCTCTGCAGGTTAATTTAGAATTATTAAATTTTATTTTATTTGTTAAAACTTTGAAACTATAAAAAAGTCAACACAGAGTGCCAATGAAGAAATTAAAATTTGATGATTTAAAAAAATGATTTTAAAAATAAAATTTAATAAATAAAATATATTAAAAAAAAAAACATAAAACGTTTACTAATAAAATGTAATTTTTAAATCAATTATAAAAATTAAATTTGCTGTTAAAATAAAATGAATGTGATTTTTGCTCACCTTGGGTTTTCTGCAGAGAATCGGAGAGCCTGGTCCTCCTCGCAGGTCTGAGCGGCGACTGGTGCGACGACGCATCGGACGGCAGCACCGGAGACGACAGGTCACTGGAGGTGGTGGAGGCGGCCGCCGGCGACGAGTTGGGCGCCTCCGTGGATGCGGCCAGGGTGCCCTGGGTGGCGCCCAGCACCGGCGTGTCCCGCATGTCGCACTGCACAACAGAGGAAGACCATGAGAGGAAGCTCGCTCCGTGAACCAACATGTCGAAAGTATGTATTCGAGAGCGGGCGCAGCCACCGACCGGCGAGCGACTGACTCTTGACTGGACTGACTGACAGGCCAGCGTGAGTCACTCGATCGCCGCGGCGGCGGCCGAGGCCTCACCTCGCGAACATCTCGCCAGCCCTTCTTCCCCCTCCGCCGACTCCTCCACGCCAAGAGGAGACGCCGCGAGAGGAAGCAGCAGCGAAATTCGATTTTCAAATTTTGTGGCCGGCAGAGATTCGAGTGAGGGGAATAATCACTTTTGGTATATTTTCTTACTTAGTTAGTTTGGAAATTAAAAAAAAAATTATTCTAATTTTATCATCGGAATTAATGATTTAGTAAAAATTACGTCGCCACATAATGCATCGTATTTGTTAATTTAATTAAACAAATTATTAATTTTTTAATAAATTAAGAAATATGAAATATTTATTGATAAATGATAATTTTTACCGTATATATTTACAAGGCATAAATTATAACAATCCTTTATATTAAAATAAAAATCATTAAATCTCTGAATCATATGGAAATTATTTTGCAAATCCAAGCGCTTCTTTACAAATAAATTTATGAAATTACATTTTATAATTATTCCCGTGGGCTCCAAATAATTAATTATAAATTGTGTTAACTTGATGGCTTTTTATGGCTAATTAATTGTGTATTTTGAGTTTGCTGAATTGTTTTTGAACGGAACAATACTTCTTAAAATCAATTAACCAATTAATGCTGATTGATTACATATTATTTCCTTTTAAAAAGAAATAAATATTTTTATTTTTAAATGTAGATACTAACCTATTCTGTCTTATTAAGGTTAGCATACAAATTAATTATATAAAGAGCTTGGATTTTGAACTTACAATAAATGAGTAAAAATCGGCTAGGCCAGGTTGTTTTATTTTTTATTTCAAAGAAGCAAATAATATACTTTTCTTTTACGAAGAAGCTAAACTTATGATAATTGTAACAAAATGTTAAAAAATTATATGTGCGGCTTTGAAAAAAATAGTGTTCTAATAAAAACCGTCAATTTCCATGATTATCCGCATAATATGAATAAAAGATTTTATTAAAATAATAAATTCTTAAATTATCCGATTCATCATGAATTACTTTTAAAAATGTAAGCACATCCTTATTAAGAAATTTCCTAAATTTCTCTCTAAATTATAATGTTGATTTGAATTTTGCTTATTTAATTGTATCGGAACTGGAAAAAACTTCATATAAATCAATATAAAAAGTGTTGCTCGATATGTTCTTTCCCTTTTTGTGTTTAATAATTATTATTTTTTTGTGAATGCCCAGTGATTGTCAATGTAAACTTCTTTGGAACTACAATAGATTTTAAAATGTGATTTAATGCTCTGTTTTAAAATTTCATCCTCTTTTATACTCTATCTTGCTATTTATCAAACACGTTAGCGCATTTTTGCTCGGCTGGCGCGGCTAGAATGGATCCGTGGCACTTTTTCAGCAGATTTTCAGGTAGAGAGACATTGTAAGCGCTGCACGTAGCCAATGCAGAAAAGTGTCTCGGTCGGTAACATCATCATCATCAAATTCCATCTGGGCAAGAATTTCTGCGCGTCTCAGCGTTTTGCGCACTGCAACGGCCGTTTTCGCTCCTCGCCTCTGCTGCATGGGCTGGATGTTGGCGCTGAGTTTGCAGCTTTTGCTCGCGTTCGAAGATAAAGCACCAAACAATTCCATCACCATCAGCATAGCAAACAATGAAAATAATATCTTGTTGGTGCACATGGCGACGCCATGAGGCCTGCGTGAATTAACAATGTCAGAATAGGAGTGTTGCACGGCGCCTTTGTCCAAAGTCTCTCTAAAAAGAGCTATCGCCAAATCTTATCACGGGTGTTCCGGGAAAAAGGGGCAGGAAATCTACTATGGTACGGGGCTGCTGGTGCAATGAAAGATTATGTGACTAGATTGTTCAATGTGCAGGAAAATTTTTGAGGAAAGTCATCGGCCGCAAAGACTTAACGAGTAATGAGATGTGTGGTCTGTTTGAAATAATTAATTATTGAAACCCATTTTAATAAGAATGATATTTTCTCACACACGCACACGACCACTTTGACCACTTGCGACGGTTGACAAAATCATGAAAAAAAATTGAAAGTTTATTTATTCAAATTATGTAAGTAGTAATGAATTGAAATTCATCTTAGCTTGAGTTTTTTTAAAGCTCAATATATAATATTTTTGAATAATTTTCATTGTAATTATTTTCAGCGATTTGCAAGACTTTTTAATCTAATTTTTCCATTGTGGGAAATATAAAATTAAGATTATTTTCAATAGATATAAAAAATTTTAATTTTTAAATCGGAGAATCTGAATTGAATATTTGATATATCATTTAATAGAAGTTATGAGGGGCTTAAATTTTTTTTAGATTCAATTTTGCCAGATATTTTTTGTTTGTTGAATATTGCGTGGTTAATTGTGTTTGAGCCGATGAGCCACCTGCGGCCAGGCGCCTGTCCCGACGTTCTTTGAAAAATGATTGGATGCTCCTCGAGGCACTGCAATATAATTAAATGCTTGGAGCCTGTGATCTCAGTCAGCACCCTTTAGACGGCAGCGGGCAGACTACGGGCTGCATTCAAAGAGAGGCTCAATCAAATTGTCATTATGTTAAGTCGGCGGCGCCTGCTCGCGCATCGCACTTGCCGCCTGTCGTTAAAATAAGTAAAGGTCATTTAACCATGGAACGTGGCGCATTCGGAGAAAATTCCGATTGGCAACATAATAAATATCCGACAAAAAAAAATCCGCTGCGAGTTATTTGCGTTGGGCAAACTTTTGGCATTCTTTTTTCGGGCTTGTGCAATTCTTACGAGTTTTATTGGCTGGCCGAAGGATGGGTCAATTGGGGCGTTGCGCAAATAATTAGTTCATCAATCGCGCGCGGCGGTTTTTTTATTTTTATTTTCGAACATGGGTGCAGAGCACTTTCACTATATATAATTCTTAATCATTGTTGCCGTGGCGGCTTGTTAGCGACAAGAGACACACCTTTCGGCCGACCCGCGTGTTTATTATCTGATGCAGCTTTGCAGACGCGCCGAATTGAAATTATAGGAAATGAAAGATTCATTAACAAGGGTATTTTTTCTGTGTAGCGAGAAATAAATTCAATCTTATGTTTTCGCTATATCTTTTGCTGGAGTGGAGTCAGTCAAAGGAAAAAGCAAAGAAAAAAAAAATAAGGAAAATTCTTTTGTAGCAAACTCAAATAGCATTTTTAGTAATGCATAGGAAGTGCGTACACGGATGTGAAGCTGAGTCATGAAACTTCAAGATGAAAATCCTATGCTCCGTATTTTGTATTATGTTAAATGAAATCTAACATTTTTGAATGAAAAGCAATCCCAAATGTTAATTAAAAATTTAAGAATTAAAACATTTTTTTAAACATTTGTTTCGAACAAAATATATCAAAATTCTTTTAAGAGTTTAATTATTTTATTAATTTGTTTGATTGTTATGGTGATAGCGGGATAAAAGAAAATGAATTTGAGTTTTTAAAGATTTTAAATTTGATATTTTAAAATTATAATTTAGCAACAAATTTTTAACCCCAAACCAAGGAGTGTGCATATAAGTTTTAATTAAAAAATTCTATTAATTTAAAAAAAGGTGACGTCAACGGTACGCACCTCAATCGGCGTGAACAATGGGCCACGAGCTGCTAAGAATACAAACGATTTGATTCCCTGCCGCGCGTTCCACATCCATCTCGCGCGGTGGCGGCCCATTACGCATGGCGCAGTCGGTAATTAGTTGATGAGCTGCTACTGTGCGTAAGGTGAGAGTGAGACATCGCCGTGTGTTTATGGCCTTGGCATGATCCAGCATCAATTATAACAGCCAGCAGAGGAAATTATCATCGGCGTCTCAACGCAAGCAGCCTTACGACATCTCGACGGCGGCGCGCGCCGAGAGAGATGAGCGAGAATTTTTCTCCGACTCGCCCTCGGCGTTGTTTTGATGAGGATGCAGTGGCACGGATAATTATTTTGTGACACACACCGCATCATTATACATTCGATAATCGGCAAAGCGTGATTCGATGCTTTCCATTTTATACTGTTATGTATTTGCATTGGAAACACCAAAAGCGACACATTTCCCACGCGCAGATTTCATCACAAGATGCGACAATTAAAAAATGTTAATTGGCGCTGAAAGGCGTAAAAATTGCTTAATTTCTGCCGTTAAATGTTGCATGAAAAATAATAATAAAATGATTAAAAAATAAAATTGATAAATGGAATCAAAAAGTTTCAAATCTTAAAAATATTCTTGGTTTTCTTCAGTTTTTTTTCTTAATAAATATTTAAAATGTGCCTTAGTCATATTGAATTTATTTTCTTATCATTTTGAAATTTAAAAGCCTCATTTCAATCTTGATTCGCATCACATCCGCATCTCAAAAGGAGCAAATTAGGAGGCGTCTGCAGATATGAGTGCTGCACGATGCTCTCATACAAAAAGCGACTGATCCGCATCAGGTGCGATAAGAAAAGCAGCCTGCGCCGCTTATTAACATCGCGAGCATCACCTGCTATGCACACTCTGCGGCCGTTTCTTTCTCTCTCCATCGCGGACCCACGTGACTGCGGAGGAAAACATTGACGCAATATATATATCGTCTCGGAGAATAAGAAGCTGCTGCTGCTCTGCATCTTTCTTGCTGGCTTTCCAGCTGCTTGGAATCGCTATTTCCTCCGTTTGCTCAACACGCTCTTTACCTGACGTGCGTGCATTTTATCTCAAACCGCAAGGCACGTACGCAGGTCGGGGTCAAGCAGAATATTGCAGCGCGCCAAACAAAATGCATTTAAACGGCAAATTGCATTTAATTTTATACTTGTTGGGATTATATTTTTTTTGCCAGCAGCATCACTTGGAGCATGGAAAAGGAGCTGACGCCTTTTACTCTTCCGTGGGTATCAAAAGGGTAAACGACCTATCCCTTTTCTGATTAAAGAGTGACTTTTAACACTTTGAAAAAGAGAACAAAAACAGATAATGCTTCATTGCTCTTGGGAGAGGATCCTGACACTGCGACACTGCGCACCTGTATTTTTTTTTCACTCTAAGTTCCGCTTGTTTTCATTTTAATTTTAACTACAACGTTAATTATTTTTCCTGAGTCAAATAACAATTCAATATATTTTGCTGTTTTTAAATTTGAAATTTTATATCAAAGAAAGTGAGAAAAAAAGTTAATTTTTATATCCCACGCTTTTGCCAGGTTTAAAATTTTCAAGCTAACAAAAATATGACTGCATGCAGAATATAAATTTTTTAAAGGAAAATGGGGAAAGTCTTGATTGTGTGTTATTTCATGCGTATGCGTAAGTTCCTGTCTTCCCACGAAATCGCAATCTTTGAGACGTCAGACAGAATTGCCATTACAATCAGAGACAACTGAAATGATTGTTAATTTTAGAGGATGAGTCACAGTGCATCACGCTGCTCTGGTCTTTGTGGTTTAAAAGATCGATTGAATCACTGCGCTCTGCTCTCGCCATCGCAATCGTTGTGCGCAGCAATAAGAACCGAAAAGCCTTTCTTTCGGCTTGGAATTTATTTGCAGAGCCTACTTCCAATTTATGTGCGCGTTTGCTTATCTATCAAGCAAGAGGGAACAATTGAATTCATCCGCGAGATATGAGCCATCCTCTCTCTAAGAGATTTGAGATCGAAGCAGCTCGACCTTCGCCCCTAATCTGAATCCGTCCTCAAACAGAAAAATACACAATTCGTCGGGCTGAATCACTGCTTTTGGGCGGTTTAGCGCGAAAAAGGAAAAAAGTTTCGAGCCCTTTTCCGTATAATCTAATCAATATGTGCGCGTATATAAATAATGCATCATGTGGTGTGCATTTGGCGAGCAAATGGGATGATGAGATAAAAGGAGCAGCATCTGTGCTTCATCACCGACATTATTACAACAAAGGGCGAGAGAGATAAGCTGGCTGTCTATGTGTGCAGGAGCAAACACCATCATCGTCATACCATCTCTGCTCGCGCGTTATCTCTCGGCGGCGGCGGGATGAGCGCGCAAGTTGGCACATCGCACAGCCAATTTATGCATCCCCCGCCTTCTGCAATCTCCGTCGAGAATTTTCGCGTCAAGTGCCACTTTTCGATCTATTTAATGTTGAGGTGTCGCTCGATCGGTGCCTTTTAAAAAGCGAACAAAATAATAAAGAATGCATACGTGAGTGAGCGACGCTCTAATCTCATCATGACTCGAAGGCGGCATCGCGCAAATATAAAAGATAAAGCGCGAGATGAAATCATCTTTCACAGAGAGCATCTGGAATTTGACGTCTCCTAATTTGGCGAGGACAGTCAATGTGTATGAAATATTATCTCTAGACTTGCATAACTTTTCTCAAAGAGGGACGAAAAAGGAGGACAAAAAATATATTATAACAGGATGTTTTTTGACATTGAGCTATTTTTTAGTTTATGCAGAGATAAAATTTGCGGGTGAGATGGAAATGGAAGTTGTGATGGTGCTTGGAACAAAAAAAAATTTCCAGCGGAAGTGTTTCTTGAGGCGTTACTTCTTTTAAATGCTATTTCCCGCTCGATCATTGACGCAAAATGATGCGGATATTGAGTTGGCATGCATCATTTTTGTCAAACACATCAGTGACAAATACAGTTGAAGATAAAAATAAATCCCATAATATAATTATATATTAGTTTATTTTCTTAAATTATAATGAGGCGAGCATTGTGAATTTTGATTAATTCCGGATTACTAAAATTAAAAATGCAAATGAGAGATTAAACAATTCAGTGAAAACATCCGAGTAATTTTACAGATTTCAATAATTATATATCTTAGTCATGGCTTGATTATTAATTGTAAATAGTGATTTTAAAAAATTAATAAATTTTATAAAACTTTAAAACTTTAATATAAATTTATAGATTTCGTTTTTTTATTAATAAAATTTTAAAATAAAATACGTTGTCATTTATTTATTTTTATGTGAAGTAAAGTTTAAGATTTATTTCAGATTTATTTTTGATATCAAAAGTTTAATAAAACAAATTTGAAAAAATCGTTTTAAAAGTAGGCTTCAACTGTTAACTCTTAATCAAATTAAACTGCGCGTTTCTTTCTCATGCAGAGTGCACTCGGCTATAAAAATAATAACGCAACACATTTTCTTGCGATAAAAAGCGCGAAGAGAAAATGAAAAGTGCGTTAACCCTTTTTAAAACACATACAATGCACAGCGATATTGCACTCATTGTAATATACAGTGCATAATAAGCGTTCAATATTATATATCTAAAGATTTTCTAAATATGCACATATATATCAAATATAAAACTTGCTGACCAGATAAGAAAAAAAGGTTGGCGAACCTTTTGTTCCACAGTGTAAAAGAAAAAGTGCAAAATCTGCAGGAATAGGGAACATTGTGGAGAAAAAATTAAATAAAAATGCTGACAAGGGATTGCATATCGAAAGGGTCAGCCAAGACATACGTCTACTCACTTTACTCTTATTTGTCCTGCGGGTGGTCTTTCGGACGGGCGCCACATTTCTGGGCGCCGGCGGCCTGCGCTTGGACGACTTTTTCAGCACTGGGCGTCCCATGGTGAGGCGGCGACGGGCTGCAGCAGCAGGACCATTCGAGCCGCGCTGCAATGAGCACTCTGGTCAGACCGACACTCACTCTCGAGCAGAGCAAAAACACTCGGCACGCAGACCTCTAGCGGCGGACCGAACTATGCTTTATTGGAGCGGATAGGTGTGGTTGCATGGTTACAGCCAGATAAGAAATAAAGGATCGAGTGGCTGCGGGACAAAAAGTGGCTGCACAGTTGACGCGCAACCAGGAAGAAAAGACCCTTTTTGAGCGGATGTGTTGGTCAAAAAAATATCACACTTTGAAGAATACGAATATAATTAGCCCTAGGAAAATAAAAGAACCTTAAACGCAAATTTTTTGCTGCTTTTTCTATGGATTGAAAAAATTAAAGAGTAGTATTTTTAATATTTGAAACTAATATATGATTCTAAATCCTAAAAAAAAAAAACTATATTCTTTAATATTGATGAAAATACTCCAAATAATACTATCGTCATAGTAAATTTGTAAATATGTTATATTTAATAAGATTCATTTCCTGAAATAGTCTTTAATTTAAAAAAAAAAAATAAGGAAATCAAAATTTAATTTTGTATTTGGTATTTTTTGATTATTTTAATTTACATTTTTTTTTTTTATCAATGTGACCAAGCAGGGCATATAATTTTAAGTTTATCTATATAAATCAACCGATTTCATTAGCATCGCGAATTTTTTCATCATCAGCACGCAGGCAATTCTAAATTCACAAGAGCAGAGAGAGACTCGTCGAGAGTCACTCGCAGCAGAATAAAACGCGAGTGTCATCACAAAGACAGGATGCGCATTTGCATTGTCACCTCATTGCATCATTGATATGCCTTGAAAGTAGTGCTGCATGCTGCGCTCTCAAATTAGCAAGAAACGGGCATTATGTGAATTTCTCGAGCGCGCGGCCACTGCAGCGAACGCGAACTCTTTTCTGCTAACTCTGCGATTGTTGAGCACCGAGTTTTAAAATAGATTTGTAATTGAATCAGCTCAGTGGCCAGGTGGAGCTCAAGCGGATCTTTTCAATTTAAAAATCGATTTGAAAATAATTTGATGTCTTTTGAATAAATTGCATTTCTTTCCACGCTTTTTTTTCTTATGGAAATTTTTCCTTTAGTTTGGAAACCCCAAGGAAAACAAGGTTGGCCACCCAAAAACACACCGTCTCTTTAATCTCCTTTGGGCATATGTGGTCAAGATCTTTCTCAGAGGAAGTGTGTTTGTCTTGAGCAAAGCAGGAAAAATCCCGACTGTATAATAGAAATCTCCGCATTGCACCAGAACAGACCTCAGAGCAAAACAGCCTAATCTGTGTAGCACAAACCGCAGAGGCTTAAGCAGGAGTAGAAGACGTCAAAGGAAGTGTTAAATCTCCTCTCTAACGATATTAAAGTAAAATAAATTAATTAATTAAATTGAGAATAATAAAAAAAGTAATATTGGAGGCAAAAGTCATGGACCGTTCCTTATTTCCGACCAAATTATATGAAGATACGCACAGGTGATTCTCTCCTGCGAGCGGGGAAGATCATCTGATTATTCCACCTGCCGTAACGTCTGATGAGCCATTTACCATCTGCTACATATAATTTTATTTATGTGGCACGCGCCACAGACTCCTCACGAGAAGTCGGTTGGAAGGAGAGAGAAAAAAAAACGGCTCAAACCGTCCTCTGCTTATTTTACATCCTCAACATCCATCGCCTCAGGCAGAGTAATTTGATTTAGAAAAAATAAACGACTAGAGAGATTGCACCTTTTAAATTTCAATTAAGTGAGAAAGAAGAAGCCGCGGCAAATTTGTCCGTTGGAAAAAAATAGTCACCGCCTGGGAGGTATGCAGCCGGCCGGCGAGGTGTGCGTTTCAGGCGGCTGCTGTGTAATAATAATTATGTTGACATTTTTCACTCAATTTTATACTATTCGCCGTGCCAAAAGGTATTTTTTATATGTGAAGTAAAAAAAGGCAGCTGCTGGTAGGTTTTCCTGCAGTGGCTAATTTCAGGAAGGTCCACTCGCGGGAGAGCGCGGTGCTCACTGGAGCATTGCATCTTTCTCTCCTGCTCTCCCGTCGGCTGCAATATAATAATGTGCGTGATGTAACAGTTCAACGGCTATTACGACGCGCAATTACCGTGCAATTACCAGCAGCGCAGATGCTCATTGTTTGCCCGCGCGCATAAAATTGATAATTAATTGCAGCCGACAGTCGGAGAAAAGTGATTTACGAGGCAGATTTTTGCCTTGTTCTATACACCGATAAATTAGAGAAAAATAAACGTTCTGTGTCGAGAGGCTTGTTTTTCACCCCGACATTAAGAAATAAAAAACAGGGTGAGCTAATTTATCATGCATCTGAATAATTTCCTTTCGTCTCCTTTTCGGCGGTGGAGATTTCGTCACTGATGTGTTTTACGCCCCTCGCGTGGATTTGTGTGTTGCCCTGCCTGGCCTAATGTTAATATTATTGCCGCGGATCACGTCATGTGACAGACGAATTTCCCTCGCGTTTTTGATATACCAGAAGAGGGAGGGGGTGTTTATACAAACGCCCGCACGCGTGCGGACTTGTTTGCTCTTTCCCAGGGTTTTCCGAAAAGAGGAAATAGGGGGTGATGCTTGGAAGAAAACAGGGAAAACTTTTCATTTCCGCGAAGAGTATTGACTAGAAACTCATTTTTTGTACCCGATGTATAATTTTTTTTAATTTTTTTTCATTAATACGAATTAATTAACCTAGATTTTTTTTGCTAAGTCATCGTTTATTGCAAATAAAAATAAAACCTTCCATTTTGACCAAGGTAAACTTAAATAATCACTTTTTGTTTCGTCTGCTAAATGATCCATAATAAACCAATAAAAATGAAAGTTAAAAAGGTGCCGAAAAGGTGTGCAACCGTTTTACGAGCCCCTGAATGTCGCGTACATTGGTTGGCAGACACGGTTGGATTAATCGCTCGCAGCCCCCATGATAGTTATTATATATGGTTTTCTGATCTGCAGCAACACACACAATGGGGCAAGGTGTTGGGAAAAAGCCGATGACTGATGCTGAGAGAGAGAGAATGAAAGAGCACCTGCCAGGTGTACTGCAAAGGGAAGCAGCCGCCGAGCTGCTGGGGGCACGTGCTGCGCTACACACAGACAGACGCAGGTGCGTCGCTTTGTTTCACGAGCGGCGCTCCGATTCTCATGATTATTATATAGTGCTTTACGCACAAGGAACACCGCGACCAACGACCGTTTGTACGCCAGGAAGCGATCAAGAGAGCAAAGGGTAGGATCAAGGGACTTAAAAATGATCGATAATAAAACGGCCATCAAAAGATAATTGAAAGTATAACGAATTTATAAAATTTCATTGCCACAAAGAGTCAAAATAAGAATAAAACTGCACAATTATTCAAAACTTTGAATTTTAATAGTTATAAATTCTAAGACTTCTAAGGAAGTTTCATAAACTTAATGTAGTCATATGGTTGTTCGATAATTTCATTAAATGAATAATTTTATTTTTCAGTACGTAGAACAATTTAGCATTTTTCTTTCTTTGAAAGTGTGAGAGTAAATTTTTTTATTAAGCCAAGATTTCCTCACACAGTTTCAGTAAAAACCTAAAAAAAAATGATAAATCTGATAATTTTAATCTTTAAAGCTCAAAAGATTTTTGCTCATGTTAAATTTAATCCATCCAGCTTATAGAAGGTAAATTAACAGCATTTTTTTTCTCTTTTCGCTCGGTTGGTCTCATTCGCGTTTATATTGTGAGAGGCTATCTCGCGTCTGCATCAATTTCGCAGCCGCGGTGCTCAATAAAGCGAAGGTCGCCATGGCAACCTGGGGTGTGGAGCTGAGAAACAAAAATGGCGCTGCGAGGCTGCAGCAAGAGAATTGCGTCACGACATCATTAATAACGTTATGGCTGTAGCCGCAGCAAAAGCGCGCAGACAGCGCCGCAGAGATAAAACCTTCAGTGTACCTGCATCATTATCAAAAGGCTTCAAAGTGGCGGCTAAACCAAGCTATACTTTTTAAACTTAAAAAATTATTTTTAAAATGAAGGCACAATAATTATTATAAAATTATTATATTAATATCCCGTTATTTTAAAACAAATTTATGTGCGTTTTTTTTTTATTTGTTAATAATTTTAAATGTACAATAATTTTTTTTTATGAAGTCTTTAAATATTTTTTTGAGCTTCTCAGCAGGACTCATAGGAATTAACCTTAAAGAAACAATAGAAAAATATAAATTGAAGAGCATCTCAACATGTAGTTGTATTACATGAAGATATTTATTTAAGTTAGTCGGTGGCAATTGTCCTCCATTATTATTGTTTACTCTGGTTTATTCTGCTCATGAGTCATGCAAAATTTGACAATTTCAAATGTGACACCAGAAAAACGCAACATAAAGTTTATTATATTTTTTAACCCTTTTGTTAATGAACGCTTGGAATGATTTCAAAATTGTTTTGACTGACAAAAAAAATATAAACTTAATATATTATTCGCTACAACTAACTTTTTTCACCATCATGCAGCAGCTTTTTGTGCACTGAAAAATCCATTTCGTTTTCATTCGCCAAAGTGAATAAAGCGCGTTTTTGTGCAGTGCGAGCGACCATTTTTCATCCCCTCGAATAACGTTTCAACCCTTTCATCAGCAGCGGCAACGCTTTTCTTTGTGGTAGCACCACCGACCGACAGCACATCTGCGCGGTGCACAAACACGGGAGGCGCTGGAGCTGTTGATTTGTTTGGTGTGCAGGGTCGTCTAGGCAACCCGCGCGGCACAAAACATCAGCCAGGCCGGGCTCCTCCGGCTAAGCTTTTTTGTGCCGAATGTCTCTGGCGCTCTAATGATGACTGCAGATGAAAAATTCCAGATTGTGAGAGTGCAGAGCGAGTGATACAATAATAATAATAACCAAAGGCATAGCACGCGCTTTCACATGAAACGCCAAATGGAAAAGTCGTGCAGCGCAACAAGCTGCCGTCGCGCACACGAAACTCGC